TAGCAAACATGACATCAACACGTCACGAAACCGGCTGGTTAATGCACTAGAAGCAACATCCATCCTAAGTCAATATTGACCCATAAATACCTCCCAGCCTACCCACCCCTTATCACAAAAGATATCGGTGCCAAAGTTCTCCTACTTCGTGATAATCATAAAGCACATATATGCTTATGTAAATGTGGTGTTTTTATATCGTTTTAATTATGTTTGGCTGACTCTAATTTTGAAATAATCTAAACTGAAATTTCGTAGATAAATTTTACTTTAAAAAGTTCTATCATTGATGTAGGTAGTAGGCGTTGAGGGGAGCACGCCCCCCTCCCCTCCTCACACCATATGACTCACTTTAGGTTATAATTGCGGATAGCGATTTCAATGCTTTTAGTTTCCAAATACCCGGTTAGCGAATGTCATAAAACCACAATTTTACTCGTTAAAAATAACCATGACAAAATTCATGTCGCCGCCACTGACTTTAATAGCACCAATAACAACGGTTTGGATATTTGCTACAACAATTATTCCTCTAGTCGATAAAAACAGTTTCTGAATTATCGTAACTCCAAAATGCCATACACTCACGTCACATAAAACACTAGCGGTTGATTAAATTTAAATTTTAAAACGTCGAAAGGGGTTTCACTCAGGCTAGAGACTACTAAACTTTTTTACTAGGCTACTATTAAAGGGAAACGACTCCATTCAAATCCTCATCTAGTTATGTTTGTATTCCATTATAATAAAAAAATTAAAATCAAATCAAAATAAAATCTGTTTCTAGACGTTAAACTAAACATTAGAAAATTAAAAATAGTTCAATTGTAATTAATGTTTAATTACAGCCATAGCTTTTGATGCGCTTAGACTTTTTTTTTTTAATTTTCTTGTAGTTTAGACCAGGGGTCTCCAAACTACGGCCCGCGGGCCGGATGCGGCCCGCGAAGTCCTCTCATCAGGCCCGCGGAGATTTTTTTGTCCAAGGAACAATTGTTTGTTGGGGATGGCTGAGGAACTATGCCCAGAAAAATCAAAGACATACCTGGAAGAAACTGGCCCCCGAACTGAAATTTGATAGTTAATGCGGCCCTCGGACTAAAAAGTTTGGAGACCCCTGGTTTAGACTATAAAATGCTGTAAATCATCTCTTAAAAAAGGATAGATTGGTCTTAAAATTGTTCTAAATCGTGAAACATAAACAAAGTAAAGCTTGTAATTGCTTAGCATTTATAACAAACAATTCACATTTCAGCGTCTATTTGCAAACAGAATAGAACGATTTATGTTAAATTATATTAAAATAATTGATGTTTCACAAATGGTTTACAGCATTACAAGTGACAGATTTATTTGTTATTTCCATGAAAGCAACAATATAATTCATTTTCAAGCTATTACCGGTAAATAAAAATAAATTTAAATTTAAATATATATATATATATATATATATATATATATATATATATATATATATATATATATATATATATATATATATATATATATATATATATATATATATACATACATACATACATATATGTTTCGTTTAAAACATACCCCTTGAAGATAAATGAGAATTTTTATTCTATTATTTTTAGAAAGATAAATTTCGTAAAGCTTTAATTATTTTGATTTTATTTTTACCTAAATTATAAAAATTGTGGTTCGAAAATAATAAAGACATACAAACTTTTTAAAAAGATCTATTTTAATAAAACTCACAGCCTAAAATGTCTGCCTGGAAACCCAATCTGGCCCGGAGGTAGCCCTGCAGAAAATCTGGTACGTCTGTAAACCACACAACACCCCTGTCTCGCTGGTCCCATGTGAATGCAGGCAGAAGGCGAGCCACTAAAACGCCCATGACAACTACGTCACTCGAAGTCAAGGTTCGACATCAAGGGAAGTAAGCACGCTATTTGCAGGTTACTTTAATAACAGTTACCTTCCATGCCGTTCTAGCAATTTTTTTTAACAAAGCTGGGTAGATTTGTCAAGGGTGGAGGCGAATATTAATTAGTCTAAAAATTAGATGGCCATCATGGGCAGTTTACAACAGGAATGGGGTATGTGATTTGTTATCAGCAAAATGTTTCAATTAAATTAGGTAGGGTGGGTGTGATGACGCAATGTTAGACAAGTTTAAAAATAGGTCAAATCGAAAAGAAAAAAATGCTGAAGCTAAGAAATAGCTTAGGTCAGCTAGATATTGGTCAAGCGGAACCAAGAGAGTTGTAGTGGAACGAACTGACCGGTCACGTGTGACGGTCAGCTAACCAAGCGTAGGGAGTTGGCATTTGTACAATGTTGGCGTAGTTGGTCCAGTGCTATAAAACAGTTGAATGTAGATAGTGTTAGGACTAGGCGATAGTTGAGATAACAGTCTTTAATTTTCATCGATTCTGATGTTCGTTTCATATTTGCCATTTAGAATGATTGAATGAATGCTGGGACTAGACTGGTAGATTGGGGGGATGGGGTATATAAGGGGGGGGGGGTCTGTAACAGTGTCTGAGCTGGAGGGGGGCACTGTAGAAGTAGCATATCTAGGATAGGGTAAACTTCCCCTGTGGCCCATCTAGGATGGGTGTATGTAACGTTATCGAAGCTTGTGAGTGAGACGGTTGAAGACCACAACTAAAGACAGTTTTTTTCTGTTTTTTTCTGGCATCACACACACACACACACACACACACACACACACACACATACACACACCTCTACCCTCGAGCACGTGCAGCGCATACAATTTATAAGATGAATATATCTATATATATCTATCTATCTATCTATCTATCTATATATATATATATATATATATATATATATATATATATATATATATATATATATATATATATATAGGCCTATATATATATATATATATATATATATATATATAGGCCTATATTTATATAGGCCTATATATATATATATAAATATATATATATATATATATATATATATATATATATATATATATATATATATATATATATATATAAAGTGAGAGAGAGGTAGAGAATATATATATATATAAATAAATATATATATATATATATATATATATATATATATATATATATATATATATATATATATATATATATATATATATATATATATATATATATATACATATATACATATATATATATTATTACAGACCGCCCCCCCCCCCTAGAGAGAAATGTCTGAAAAGATCACTAACTACAGGTAGAAGTAAACAGTTTTGTAATTTAAAATTTTCAGCGAAGTGGGGGAGGGGGGTGTTGTTAAACACCTTGATCAAAAAGGCTAACCGAACCACACTCCTTACTTCAAGTATAAACTAAAACGTTCAGCCATTGCCCCAACCGTTAGACGAGGCGGATGGTTTAGATTAACCCTTTAATGCCTAACAGAATGAACTCACTGCTGAGTCAGTAAAAAATTAAAGATTTTTATTTAAATCGTATTTCTTTAGCACCAGCGCTGGTGTAAATTTCGGCTCATAATCATAACCCAACCTACATTTATCTGCCATTCTCTCCTTATATATATATATATATATATATATATATATATATATATATATATATATATATATATATATATATATATATATATATATATATATATATATATATATATATATATATATATATATATATATATATATATATATATATATATATATATATATATATATATAAATTAAGTGAATCCGCCTTCAACCCCCTAGAAACCCATTGATACATTGCATCCATGTAAAGTTAAATCACAGCCATGTTTTAACATTTAATTCAATTAACAGACATTTTAGGGCAGCTAAGCCGCGGTTATAACCAGGATACCTTTGGTGGCTAATTGCCACGCTGATGGGGTTTTAATGCATATTTAACCAGAGCCCACCCCAGGGGAGTTCACTAGATGGTTGGTTACTAATCGTGATTTTACGGTCGAGGCAATGTTTGCAGTTAGCGCTAAAGAGGGTGGGAGGAAAAGGTCAGGAGGCATTACAGTGAGGACACGCTTGATCTGAACGGGGATGTCTAATAAAGGCTCAAAGTTTTAATATTTGAGATAGTTTTATAGTAAGATCAGCGCGGGCAAAAAGGAACTAGAACATTATTTAAATTTTACTTATGTATGTATGTATATATATATATATATATATATATATATATATATATATATATATATATATATATATATATATATATATAATAGGTTTATAGTATGGTAGGCAGTTCATTTGGTGCACCAACGTATATATATGTAAGTAAATAAAATCATAAACATTGGTGCAGTGACATAAACAAACTATCTTTTAAAGTGGGATGACTAGACGTGGTTTTATGGGCAATCTGTTTACAAGGGGAGTGTTTGCTCGCATTGTCTTATCCTTAGTTAGATAGAACGTTAGAAACCATAAACAATTTAAAGTGCACAGTAGGGGTTGCAGTAATAATAGAGTGTGTGGAGGAGGGGACGTGATGATATTGCTTACAATGTATAATATGTGAGGCATATAAATGGGCTTCAATATATTAGGCATTGATGTAGAGATATATATTCACAAAGACATATATATATATATATATATATATATATATATATATATATATATATATATATATATATATATATATATATATATGCAGAGAGAGTAAGAGTGGTTAATAAAATTAGTTTTCACGTCAAAACAATGATTGTAAGCTACAGGTAAACGATCTAAGGTGTATAGGCCTACCCCAAAATTAGTAACGTGGCACAACCAGCAATTGTAATATGGCAATAAAATACAGGATCAAATAACGGGCTTACAATGGGTTTAAAGAGTACTCTTCATTTACAACACTTTAATATATATATATATATATATATATATATATATATATATATATATATATATATATATATATATATAAAGCCTTTATATATATAAATATATCTACATCTATACATTGGAGTATGTGTGTGTGTGATTGTAACAGCTAAAACATACTTACCGACTATAATGTATTTTACGTATATATATAGATCTTTATATATTTACTTTTAGGTGAAATACTAAGTTTCGCTAGCTAAAAATACTACGCCTTATCTCTCTGTTAACTTTAACCAATGCTCTAGTAAACACGCACTAAAACACTCCGTACAGTAAAATCAAAACGTTAGTGTAGCGTTATGTTGAAGAAATACGCACAGTAACTTACAACCTGCGTTGGTCTGCAACTTTTAACCGTAGGCAGATGTTTACGTGTAGACTAATTACCCGAAAGCAAATTACAGTTTTACAGCTCCGATGAGTTTATTGTAGGGGAGGCTATCATAAACAGTTTGAAGTATGGGAGGCTACCATAAACTGTGAACAACGTTGTTGGTTGGAAAGGTAATTTATGCAACTTCCACGCTTTGAAAAGAATGCACTTAACAACTTCTGTTTTGTTTATTTAAAAGATGGACGATTCAGAAAGAAAAATTTGGAATAAAGAAAATTTACAAATTATGGTTGGAGGTAAATGTAAAGAAAAAAAAACTATAGTGAAAACTCAGTTGACTGCTAAAGAAATAGAGTGTTAAATTTTTAAATGCGGTTGGATGAGTCTACACTTGCATTAAATTTATTGTAACCCAAATCTGAATTTGACGCTTGGTTTGCCTTAAACCAGGGGTCGGCAACCTGCGGCTCGCGAGCCGCATGCGGCTCTTTTGATGTCAAGGTGCGGCTCTTCAGCACCATGCACAAATATTAATAATTATATTTTGTTTTCGAAACTCTTAAAAATATTGTTCTGCAACATTCAGTGATGAACCATATAATAATAAATATAAACAATATATGTCTCGGGTGGAGGCACTATTATGTGACGCATAGAATATTCTCACAGGATACTACAATGAGGTAAAAAAGCATTCGGAGTGCTGACGATCTTCGGGTCACTATATTCATGCGAGCAAGCGTTTTCTTGCATGAATATAATACAAAGTAAAGAAGCCAACCAGTGTTTCTTCCGGGCATTTCTTGGGAGGGGCTCCGCCCCCCCCCCCCCCCCCCGAAGAGAGTCTACCTCCCTCTCCTCTCCCCCCCCCCGGACGAAATGGGATTTATAAAGAAAATATATACTTTTAACAGTGTCCACCCCCTCGGAAATTTTAGTCCGTCCCCCGCGAAAATTGCCCCCCTCCCCCCATCTTCGGAGAAAAAAGTATGGAAGAAACACTGAAGCCAGCTAACAAATTAAAAAATCTAGAGGCGTGACTGAAACTGAAAATAAGTTATGAGCCAGGTTTAAACAAACTTTCCAAAGGCATGCAAGGCCAAACTATTGTAAATAGTATTCAATAATTATTGTTATATAATTTGATTACTGACTTTATTATTCTAGTAGAGCTGGTTAAAATACATTAATATGTTTTGTGCTAATCATGTGTTTTTATACGAATAAATATTATTTCCTTTTAAAAGCTATTTATTTTTAATTATATATAGGCATATATATATATATATATATATATATATAAATATATATATATATATATATATATATATATATATATATATATATATATATATATATATATATATATATATATATATATATAATATCATAATATTGAAATAAAAATGTTTGTGGCTCTTTAAAAACTGGAAAATTTTGTAAATTGCAACTTTTGGCTCTTCCGTCTCAAAAGGTTGCCGACCCCCTGCCTTAAACACACAGA